GAAATTCACACATGGGGCTAACGGGCAGGAGGATAAGTTGGGGAGATGAGTGGGAGATTTTCCCACAGCTTCCACCTCTAGTCCTGCACTGTATATGTGACTCCACATGTGCCTAGTGCCTTGACATGCCTGAGTCTCACCGAAGACCAGGAAGGAGGAGGTACCATGAGGGCCACAGGCAAGTTGGAGCCTTAAACTCCCAGGAAGCCTTGCGTTTAGTAACACTGCCCAAGCTCCACCTTGCCTGCAAATTCAATCGGGGACAGCCCCCCTCTGGGAAGGGGGCTGTGGGATGTGGCAGCAGCACTATTGCCTCTGGCTTATGGGCTCTGTGGTTGGTGATCCTCCTCCCTTACTCTCTTCTCTGAGGTAGTTCTCTGTACAGAGTGGCTCATACCTATGTGTGTAACTGAACCCACCCGCTTCCGCAGCACCCAACTCTCACCCCCTTGTACCTGCAGTGGCGCTCGTCCACTCTCAGGCTCGGACATCCTATCCATTCGCTCACTATACTCTGGGCCTCATGGGCCTCCTCCCTCCCAGTCCTTCCTCCCTGTGAGCTCCCAGGCTACTGTCGGTCTATCGGTCTTTTTCTCATCAGCACCTCATCTTGTTCACATTAAAAACAGCACCAAAAGCGGTTCCACAAAATCGCAGTATAGGGTAAGGACACGTTTAAACAGACGGAGAAACTTAGCCAGTGTGAAGCAGAAAGGGCACATTCCAGGAAACAGGAGAGGACAGAATGACAGCAGGGGGGTACCTGGAGACTGACAGACATGGGAAAGCAGCAGACACAATGGTGTGGTATTGCAATGACCAATACCCCAGCAGCATTCAGCTAGCGGTGATCTGAACTGCACCAGCAGCCAGAACTTCCCCAACAACAAAGTGGGAAGGGGTGTTCACTGGGAGCTCAGGAGGTGAACCCAGACAAACAACTGCCCATCCTGCTGCTCTGTTTGATTTGACCAGGAGCAGACACAGAGTGGCAGGTCCCAGACACACAGTGCAGGAACAGAGTGGATTTCACAGCCCATCTGCCCCCTAGAGTCGAATCCGGTGCCATATTGTATAGGGAGACAAAGGCTATGGGACAGAACTGCGCATGCAAGGAGCCGGGAATGAACTCATTTCTGGCTCAGTGAACTGCAACAGCATGGCATCCTACAGGTTCTACCCAAGATAGGTCTGGGTAGTCCTCAGACATGACGGCCAGCATATCAAAAACTCTAGTAGTAGCACATCAAGCACCATTTTGTACACTGTGGCAAAGGATTTAAGCCAGCAGAGATAACTGAGCTGAGTATGCGCTGAGCTGGAAGTGAACTCACTGAGCTCAGTGAATTGCACTGGTTCCACAGCGAAAATAATACCGACTACAGCATCATACAGGTCAAAATAGGTATGTGTGGCCCTCAGACCTAACGGCCAACAGGTTCTGGCAAGATCAGCACCACTAACAACCTAGTTATATATGACACCTGGTATCTCCTTAATCCTGGGACCTGCTCCAACCAGAAGAGGGAGAATGGTTGTTCAAAGGTGCAGCCTCAGCAGACATCACAGGAGGTGGAGAGTGGTGAGCCAGAAGCTGGGACTATGGATACCACGGTGGAAGTTTAACATAAGAACCCAGACCTGGAATTTGCTGTGTACCTGTGGGTGACACAGCTTAGAAACCTGCCCCAAGAAGACTCTGCTAACCAGAAGTACAATGACCAAGAGCAAAACAGACAAAGGCACAATGAATATTACTAAAGATTCTCCTGCAAAGAACAAAAGACTTTGTCAACCTCAGAGTTCACTGAGGAAGACATCAAGAAAATTGGGGTAACAGAATTCAAAACACTTGTTATAAAGCTTCTTATCAACAATGAGAAGCATGTAATGCAGGCATTCAAGGAATTTAAGGAATATATCACTCAGGAAATGAATCAAACAAAAGCTGATATACCAGAAATTAAGAATACTGTGCAGCAAATTAGAAACACAGTGAAGAGTCTCCAAAACAGAATGAAGCAGGCAGAAGAAAGAATCTCAGAATTGGAAGGTATTTCCTGTCACCAGGGGAAAACAAACAAAAAGCTGGAAGCAGAGCTGAGTTAAGCTAAAAAAAAAAAAAGTATTCAAGAACTGAAAGACACTATTAAAAGGCCTAATAAGAAGAGTTATGGGAGTCCCAGAAGTTGCAGAAAGAGAAGCTGAGTTTAAAAATTTATTTAATAAAATAATAAGGGAAAATTTCCCTAATCTAGAGAAAGAATTGGGAAACATCATTCAGCAGGGGCACAGAACTTCCAACAGGGTTGACCAAAAGTGATCTTCACCATGACACATAAATAATCAAGTTCTCTTCAATTGAACATAAGGAAAAGATCCTTAAATGTGCATGTTAAAAAAAAAAATCAACTGAAATAAAAGGAATGCCAGTTAAACTCACAGGAGACCTCTCACAGGAAACTACAGGTCAGAAGAGAATGGAGTGACATATTCCAGATTCTGAAAGAAAAAAAACTGTCAGCCCAGGATAACATATCCAGCAAAGCTTTCCTTTGTCCTTATCTTCAAAAATGAAATAAGATTCTTCCACAGTAAAGAAAATTTAAAGAATAGGCCTCTTCCAAACCTGCCCTACAAATGATGCGTAAAGATGTTCTCTTGACAGAGAAGAGGAATAGCACCTACGAAAACCAAAGGCAAATGTGAAGAACATCCCAGTAAAATAACAGAAGACTAAATCAATGAACAACCCATTGCTAAAATGACAGAACCAAATTACCACCCATTCATATTAACCCTGAATGTACATGGCTTAAACTCATCAATCAAATGTCATAGGTTAGTACACTGGATTAAAAAAACAAAACCCATCTATTTGTTGCCTACAGGAGATATATTTCACCAACAAAGATTGCAGAAACTGTATCTCACGGATTTTGATTTTCTTTTTTAGTTTCATTTCTTTAAAACACTTTCTCATTAAATTCTTCACTAACTCATAGATCATAGAGTAGCATCATTTTCTTCAAGAAAGTTCTTGATTCTCATTTTCAGTGACACATTAGTCATTCAGTACCATGTTATTTAACTTCATGGTGTTGTAAATTTCTATTTCTCTTCCTATTGTTGATTTTGTATTGTGGCTTTTCATTTAAGGGGATGTATAGTAACTGTGTAATGGAGACTATCATATCCAGATGCGAGCATACAATGCAGTATGCATCTGTACTTCCAGATCAAGGCTGGACTCCCAGTGAAACTGTTAAATCTTGACAATAGGATGCTGGACTCTGCCATTGTCCACGCTCTCAATGATGGACATACGACTGTGCAAGAACTCAACTGTAGTAATAATATAGGGGAATTCAATGGGGGGGGAGGGGACTTGGGGAGGAGGGTAAAGGAAATCCTAGCTCCTATGGAACTATATCATAAAATAATAACCATTTTTAAAAAACCCTGTTGATGTCTTAACCACTACTCAACAAGTTATTCTTTTGACTTTTTCAGATTCTTTGAAAGTCACAGGTCTATTACTCATCTTTGCCTTCCCCACCCCCTCATCCCTCGGCTTCTACCTGGCCTGCCCCACCTCCACATGTCCTCAGGCCACCAGCTTCCACTTCCAACACCCATCTCTGAACCTTTCTCCATCTCAGTGGCAACTGACATGCTGTTTTTGGAAAGTTCTCCCCAACCCCACTCTGCTGTATTACCACACCCTTTTGCCCCCCACCCCCCTGACCTGTTCCTTGTGTGACCCTTCCTCACAGCTCTCCTTCCTCTTCCTGAACCTGAAGGTGGCTTTTGCTGGGGATCCCACAACACGCTTTCTCTCGCCACATTCCCTGATGCAAAGTTGCTCACCAGCTTGGCCTCCGTTACAGCCATGTGGCTCACACCAAGGGCCTGTACTCCTAGCATAGATCTGCTTCTCCTGGGCTCCACATGCACATATCCAAGAGGCAAGCAGACAGCTCCAGTTAGATGAGCCACAGGTACCGCCCACACAGCACATTCTAAACTGAACTCTTCATCCCCCACTCAAATCTGTTCCTCCACCCACATTCCCAACTTAGGAGAGTCCCGACGTCATCAACAATCCCTTGGGTTCCTTTCGCTTTGGCAGGGAAATCATCAAGTCCTGCTACACCTGTCTCTTAAAGTGAACACCATCTACATCCATGCCCTGTCCCCCAAATTCACAATGACCACTTCCCAACTTGCAGTCACCAACACAAGCCCTGCCGCCTGCCTGCTCTTCCTGCTTCAACTCTCCACCCTGCCTGTTCTTCACCCAGTAGCCATGGTGACCTTCCTATAGTGCAAATCTCAATGCTGTCTAACCATGAATACTGTTTTCTTTAGCAGTGGCTCTCCAGTGCCTAGCACATGTTGAGTAGAAAGAATGAAAGGTCCAGGAAAGTTTACACTTGGACATTCAAAGTCAATGTGTAAACCTCAAAGGCTGAAATAACAGAATGTGCAAAAATCCCAGTTCAACAACTAAGCAGTAACATCAAATAGAACATATGTCATCTTAGTCTTATAATATCAGACTCTTACAAAATGATTGCTTGGGGCCAGTGCAGTGTAGTATTAGATTAAGCTATCGTCTGCAACTTCAGCATCCAATACAGTCAGCAGTTTGAGTCCCAGCTAATCCACTTCTGAGCAAGCTCCCTGCTAATACACCTGGGACAGCAACAGAAGATGGCTCAAGTGCTTGGGCCCCTGCACCCAAATGGGAGACCTGGAAGAAGCTCTCGGCTTCTGGTTTCGGCCTGGCCAAGCCCTGGCCATTGCAGCCATTTGGGAAATGAACCAGCAGACAGAAGACTCTTCTCTTTCTTCTTCCCCACCTCCCTTTCAAATAAAAAAAAAAATCTTTTTTTTTTTTTAATTATTACACTGCTTCCCCTTCCCCATACAAAAAGAGTAATTTTCAATTTTCCAATAAAATCGACAAGAAATCTGAACAATCCGCATTTACTTACGTGCAAAGAATTGACTGGTCCTCACGATCTACAAAACAGAACAAGACAAAGAAAGAGAGTGACAATTTGCCTGGTAGTAAAACATCTGACATCATTACATTGCAGAAAGTCTATAAAACATTACTAAGCCTCCAAAGCTATCATGTCACCGTAACCTAACCTGGTTCGCTCAAGAGCTCCTTTAGGGCTGGATTCCAGGGGCAAGATACAGCCCAGGCTGGGTCCACACATCACTGGGCAGCTTCCTGCTGCCTGGTGCCCTGCCCTGGCCACACCACCCTCAGGAGGACAAGGCTTGATAAGTCCCCTGCAAATAAGGTCCCTGGGTGACAGTGACACCTGGCCAGCTTAGGGAACACTCCTTTCAGAATGGCTCCAAAAGTACCCACACCCAGAAGGGAATCGCTATTAGCGTGATCTTAGAGGAGGAAAAAAAAAGCACCCAAAACGCCAAGTGAATCTACCTAAAGCTTCACTCTTGTTTCAAGTCAGAATATCAGAGATGAGAGCACACACAGTGGAATGGTTTATAAGTGTTTTAAAGTGACTTCAATGATCCGGGAGAGTCCGGAACCCAGTTCCCAACCTGGACATGATAATCAGGGTACACACTCCTGAGCATGACTGTCCCCACTCGCAGAGGAAACAATGTGCCCAGAGACCCTCAGCGATCCACCCCACGAACTCGGCTGTCAAGTGGTCACAGGGCCCGCGGGAGCTTTCCTGGGCCAGCTGTGCTATGCCTGCTCCCCGTCTGGGGGACACCAACACTCCCAGTAAAAGCCTCACAGCAGCTCAAGCATAAACATTCTCAGGAAGGAGAAACACAAGAACATCGTGTTCCTTCAGTAACCCTCTTCTGCAGCATCACTGAAACAAACACATCCACACAGCTATGCACCAGCCGAGCTGGACAAGGAGCCTAGGACTGCCTGAGGCCAATCCATGTTTTAACAGTGCTGTCACTCCTTGGGTGGGCAAGGTGACTTCAGCCTCCTTTACCCCTTCACTTTCCCAGAAGCCCCAAGCTGGCCTTCTTCAGACAGGCTCTCCTTGGTCCAGGACTGTGACCACATCTCCTGCCCACGCCTTCACACCCTGTGCAGCTGGGTTCTGCTAGGACACCTTCCCGGAAACCCACTCTCTCAGGTTTCATCAGGCTTCCTTCTTTCAATTAAACAAAACTGCAATTAACTGACTGCCTGCTAGGATGTACCGCTGGAGAGCCAAGACTCTTATTTCTTTATTCCCAGTCTCAGCCATAGCTAACCTGTAATAAAGTCCTTATGAGAGAAATTCAGGGCTGGGTACAACAGCCTAGGTCCTGGCCAGATGGTGGCAACCAGAATTGCTTGCTCCAGCCAGTTCCAGCTCTGCCACACACTATGCATATATAAACGGGTCATTTATTCCTTGCTGTCTCCTCACCTACAAAACCATAAACTGTGGGTACTGGTGCTATGGCACAGCCCGTTAAAACTGCTACCTATGCTGTCAGCATTCCACATGGGTGCCGGTTTGAGTCCCAGCAACTCCACTTATAATCCAGTTCCCTGCTAATGGACTGGGAAAGCAGTGAAAGCTGCAACAACTGCTTAGACCCCTGCACGCACATGGCTTTGGAACGGACCAGGCCCAGCCACTGGGGCCATCTGGATAGTAAGCCAGCAGATAATCTCACTCTTTCTCTACAGTTCTGTCTTTCAAAAGAAATAAACCTTTTAAATATATATATATTTCATATACATATTCAAATATATACATTTCAAATATATATGTACATATATTTCAAATATATACACACACACATATATGAGTTCCTGGCTCTTCATGCTTATCCAGCCACGAACGGCATTTGTAGAATGAACCAGCTGCATCTAGCTTGCTCACTTTGTCTCTCTCTTCCTTGCATAAATAAACATGCACACTGGGCAGATGCTAAGGGGCAGTGAGGTAGGCCACTGCTTAGGACGCTGGCATCCTATACTGAGTATGAAGATCTCAGTCATTCAACCTTTCAAATAAATAAGTTACGGGGCTAATGGTATAGCTTAGGAGGCTAATGCTCCACCTGCAGGGAGGTTAGCATTACAAACAGATGCTGGCTGCTCTGTCTGCTTCCTATCCAGCTCCCTGCTTATAGCCTGGGAAGGAAGTAAAGGATGGTCCAAGTCTCCAGGACCCTGCACCAACGTGGGAGACCCAGAAGAAGCTCCTGGCCTCTAGTTTCAGGTCAGCTCAGCTCCGGCCATTGCGGCCACTTAGGGAGTGAACCAGTAGATGGAATATCTTTCTCTCTCCTCACCTACTCTCTGAAAATCTGCCTTTTCAATAAAAACAAATCTTTTAAAATTTGTATAAGTAAGTCTGTAAAATGCATATATATTTATTTGAAAGGCAGTTACAGACAGAAGGAGAGATAGAGATCCTCCACCTGCTGGTTTAGTTCCCAAATAGCAACAATGCTCAGAGTCAGGCCGGTATAGAGCTGGGAGCCAGGAGTTGGCTCTGGGTCTCCCACAGGACTGTTGCGGCCCAAGCACTCACTCCATGCTCTACTGCTTTCTCAGGCCATTAGTAGGAAGCCATATTGGGAAGGAAACAGCTGGTACTCCAACTGGTGCCCACATAGGATGCGTGCACTGCAGGCATCAGCTTTACTCACTATGCCTGCCAAAGCACTGGTCCCAAAAGTAAACAATTTTTAAAACCCAGAAACCACTATGATTTCACAAAGTCTTTGCTTACTTACTTTAATGTAAACCTTCAGAGTCCTGAACTTTACTGGTCTGAAGCAACTGCATAGAACTCCGATACAGTAACTTTTTATGGCTTTTCTGAACTGGTTTGCACATTAAAGAAATCAAAACACATGAAATTAAGCCAAATTAAATTGCCCCCTAATTAATTCAGAACTGCTTTCTTCCTACATCTATACACTCTATTATCACTGTCTGGAATTGGAGACCTACACCATGATTAGTCTTCCAGTCTGCTCTGGACTTCATTACCCTATGCACCCCGTCATCCCCTTACCACCACTGCGGATAATTACAGCTCTTCTAGCCACACTCCAGCTCGTGTTATCTGTCTGATACTGCACTGAGGACAGGCCTTTGTCTCTTTATTGGTGCAGAACGGGCACAGGCCTGACATCCTGCAAGACTCTCCCCAGCTCTGTGCCACAGCCCCTCCTCCCACTTCCCCACACCCTCTCCACCCTTCAAGGCCACAGAGGCAGGACAACAGTTCACTGCGATGTTTGCACTCCAAATACATGCACATGTAATTGGACACAGCCTTATGGTGACCTTTAAGGAGTGACACACATCACTTTCAACAATTCAACTGGCCTTCTAAACGGTGGTGACTCAGGACTGGCACTGTGGCATAGGTTAAGCAACCACACTGGATGCCACATCCCACACAGGAATGCTCAAGACCCGGCTGCTCCACTTCCAATCCAGCTCCCTACAAAGGAGCCTGGAAAAGCAGCACAAGATGGCCCAAGTGCTTGCGCCCGAGCCTGCTAGGAGACCAACACGAAGCTCCTGGCTCCTGACTTCAGTCCTTCCTAGCCCCAGCCATCGTGGCTCTCTGGGAAAGTGAATCAATGAATCGAAGATCCCTCTCTGTTAACTCTACCTTTCAAATAAATAAGTCTGCTTTTTACTTTTTAAAAAATGTTTGCTTTGAGGCCCACATGGTAGCCTAGCAGCTGAAGTCCTCGTGTTGCACACACTGAGATCCCTTAGAGGCGCTAGTTCTAGTCCTGGCAGCTCCACTTCCAATCCAGCTCCCTGCTTGTGGCCTGGGAAAGCAGTTGAGGACGGCCCAAAGCCTTGGGACCCTGCACCCAGGTTGGAGATCCGGAAGAGGCTCAGGGCTCCTGGCTTCGGATTGGCTCAGCTCCAGCTGTTGAAGTCACCTGGGGGTGAATCATTGGATGGAAGATCTTGCAGAGCTGAGCAGATCCAAAGTCAGGAGCCCGGAGATTCTTCTGGGTCTCCTACACAGGTATAGGGGCCCAAGGACTTGAGCCATCCTCTACTGGTTTCCCAGGCCACAAGCAGGGAATTAGGATGTAAGTGAGGCTGCTGGGATTAGAACTAGTGCCCATATGGGATCCCAACATGTACAAGGTGAGGACTTTAGCTGCTAGGCTAGCGCTGGACCCAGCAACTTTATCCAGATTTTCCATGTGAGTGGCAGGAACCCAGCTACCTGAGCCATCACTGCTGTGTTTCAGGGTGTGCATCCGCAGGAAGCCAGCATCAGGCCTGCGCACTCCATGTGTGACTCAAGGACTCAATTTAAGTCTTAATAGTTGGGCAAGCGAAATCCAGTGATACACACACAGAAAGAACGATACAAACAACCAAGTGCTGTTTATTCTGGGAACTGAAGGCTAACTTACATCCAAAAGGCAAAAGATTTAATTCAATAAACCAAAGAAACCACATCATTGAAGAGACATAGAAAAACCATCTGACAAAACTCCATATCCATTCATTCAAAACAAAATTCACTGGGGTCAGTGCTGAGGCACAGCACATCAGGCTTCTGTCTGCAGTGCCAAAACCCCATATGGGTGCTGGCCGGAGGCCTGGCTGTTCCACTTATGACGTGTCTAGAAAAGTAGCAGGGGACTGGAACAAGTGCTTGGGCTCCTGCCACCAACATGGGAAACCTACAGGAAGCTCCTGGCTTCAGACTGGGCCAGCTCCAGCTATTGCAGCCATCTGGGGAGCGAATCAGTAGATAGAAGGTCTCTTTTCTTCCTTTGTCTGTCTCTCTCTCTCTCTGCCTCTTCCTCTCCCAGTCGAACAGCCTTTCAAATCAATGCTTTAAAAAAAAAAAAAAATCCACCAAGAGATACAAGAGAACTTCAACCAGATAAAGGTATCTACAAAAAAAAAAAAAATCTTAACCACTACTGTCACTTTTAACGGTGAAATCTGGATGCTATGCCTCCAACCTCAGCAACAAGTGGATCTATTCTCACACAGTTTTTTTTTTTAAAGATCT